TGACCTACCAGGGGAAGGCCATAGCAGACAGGTCTCTGGCACTGAGCCTGGCCTTGTGGCACAGAAGGGAAGGGGGAGAATACGACAACAATTGTAGTGGAGGATTCAATAGTAAGAGGCACAGACAGGCAGCTCGGTGGACGTGAACGAGACGAACGGACGGTGTGTTTCCTCCCGGGTGCCAGGGTCCGTGACGTCTCAGATCGTGTTTTCAAGATCCTTAAGAGGGAGGGTGAGCAACCAGCAGTCATGGTACACATCGGTACCAATGACGTAGGTAGAGAAAGGACTGAGAATGTGAAAAACGAGTGCAGGGAGTTAGGTTGGAAGCTGAAGTCCAGGACAAACAGGGTAGTCATCTCTGGATTACTACCAGTGCCACATGATAACGAGGTAAGAAATAGGGAGAGAGTGCAGCTAAACACGTGGCTACAGGAGGGAGGGAGGGTTTCCATTATGTGGATAATTGGACCACATTCTGGGAAAGGTGGGACCTGTACAGTAAGGACGGGTTGCACCTGAACCAGAAGGGCACAAATATCCTGGGAGGGAGGTTTGCTCAAGATATACGGGACAGTTTAAACTAGATTGGCAGGGGGTGGGGAACAGGATTTGTAATTCAGAGGATGAGGTATTCAGCCTTCCAACAGACACAGCAGGGAGTGAGGTTGTTAATAAAGAAATGCGGTTGATGGAGCGTGGACACAGGGATGGTTTGAAGTGTGTATACTTCAATGCTAGAAGTATCAGAAATAAGGCGGATGTGCTTGGAACTACCATGTTGTGGCCATTACAGAAACTTGGGTAACTCAGGGACAGGAATGGTTGTTGGAAGTTACGGGATTTAGATGCTTTAAAAGAAATAGGGAGGGTGGTAAAAGAGGCAGGGGAGTGGCATTGCTAGTCAGAACTAGTACAGCAGCTACTGAAAGGCAGTTCAAGAATGATACGTCTACAGAGTCAGTTTGGGTTGAGGTCAGGAACAAGAAAGGAGCAGTCATTTTGTTGGGTTTTTTTTAAAACAGGCCCCCTAATAGTTGCAGAGGAGTGGAGGAGCGGATTGGGAGGCAGATACTGGAAAGGTGCAGAAGTCACAGGGTTGTAGTCATGGGTGGCTTCAACTTTCCAAATATTGATTGGAAACTTTTTAGTTGTAATAGTTTAGATGGAGCGGACTTTGTCCAGTGCATTCAGAAAGGATTCCTGACACAGTATGTAGATAGACCAACACGAGGAGAGGCCACTTTGGATTTGGTGCTTGGCAATGAACCGGGCCAAGTGTTAGACCTGTTGGTAGGAAAGCATTTTGGTGGTAGCAATCATAACTCTGTTACTTTTACAATAGTCATGGAAAAGGGTAGGTACATACAGCAGGGTAAGGTTTATAATTGGGGGATAAGTTATTATAATTCTGTTAGGCAAGAACTGGGTAACATAAAATGGGAACAAATGCGCTGTCAGGGAAGAGCACAACTGAAATGTGGAGATTGTTTAAGGAATGCATACTGTGTGTGCTCTATATGTTTGTCCCTAGCAGGCAGGGAAGATGCGGTTGAGTGAGGGAGCCTTGGTTCTCAAGAGACGTCGAACGACTGGTTAAGAGGAAGAAGGATGCTTACATAAGGTTTAGGAAACAAGGATCGGAAAAGGCTCTAGAGGGATACAAGTTAGCCAGGAAGGAGCTGAAGAAAGGGCGTAGGAGAGCTAGGAGGTGGCATGAGAAAACCTTGGCAGATAGGATCAAGGAAAACTCCAAGGCTTTTTACACGTATGTAAGGAATAAGAGAATGACCAGAGAAAGGGTAGGGCCGATCAAGGATTGTAAAGAGACTTTGTGCACGGAGCCTAAAGAGACAGGAGAGGTCCTTAATGAATACTTTTTTTCGGTATTCACAACCGAGAGGGACCTAGTTGTAGAGGAGGACAGTGTGAAACAGGCTGGTAGGCTAGAGGAGGTCAATGTTAATAAGGAATATGTACCAGGAATTTTGAGGAACTTGAAGATAGATAAGTCCCCCAGGCCTGATGGGATTTATCCAAGGATTCTATGCGAAGCGAGGGAAGAGATCGCAGGGCCTTCGGCGATGATCTTTTCGTCCTCACTGTCCACGGGTATAGTGCCGGAAGATTGGAGAGAGGCAAACGTCATTTCCTTGTTCAAAAAAGGGAATAGGGATAACCCCGGAAATTACAGGCCAGTTAGTCTTACGTCAGTGGTGTGCAAATTATTGGAAAGGGCTCTGAGACATAGGATTTATGATTACTTGGATAGGCACAGTTTGATTCGTGATAGTCAGCATGGATTTGTGAGGGGTAGATCAGGCCTCACAAACCTTATTGAATTCTTTGAACAGGTGACCAAACATGTGGATGAAGGTAGAGCAGTGGATGTGGTATACATGGATTTAAGTAAGGTGTTTGATAAGGTTCCCCATGGTAGGCTCATGCAGAAAGTAAGGAGGCATGGGATAGGGGGAAATGTGGCAGATTGGATTCAGAATTGGCTGACCCTTAGAAGACAAAGGATGGTAGTGGACGGAAAATATTCAACATGGTGCTCAGTTACGAGTGGTGTACCACAAGGATCTGTTCTGGGTCCTCTTCCATTTGTGATTTTTGTAAACGATTTGGGTGTAGGAGTGGAAGGGTGGATTGGTAAGTTCGCGGACGATAAGAAGGTGGGTCGAGTTGTGGACAGTGCGGAGGCCTGTTCTAGGTTACAAAGGGACATTGATAGGATGCAGAGCTGGGCTGAGAAATGGCAGATGGAGTTTAACCCTGAAAAGTGTGAGGTGATTCATTTTGGAAGGACAAACTTGAAAGCAGAATACATGGTTAATGGAAAGATTCTTGGCAGTGTGGTGGAGCAGAGGGATCTTGGGGTTCATGTCCACAGTTCCCCGAAAGCTGCCACCCAGGTGGATAGAGTTGTTAAGAAGGCGTATGGTGTGTTAGCTTTCATTAATAGAGGGATTGAGTTCAAGAGCCGTGAAGTTATGCTCCAGCTTTACAAAACCCTGGTTCGGCCACATCTGAAGTATTGTGTCCAGTTCTGGTCGCCTCATTACAGGAAAGATGTGGAATCATTGGAAAAGGTGCAAAGGAGATTTACCAGGATGTTGCCTGGAATGGAGGGAAGGTCTTACGAGAAAAGGTTGAGAGAGCTAGGGCTTTTCTCTTTAGAATGATGAAGGATGGGGGTTGACTTGATAGAGGTGTACAAAATGATCAGAGGTATGGATACAGTGGACAGCCAGAGACTTTTTCCTAGGGCGGAGGTAGCTATTATGAGGGGGCATAGTTTTAAAGTGAGTGGAGGTAGATATAGGGGAGACATCAGAGGTGGAAGGTAGGGGTGGAGGTTAGATAGACCTTAGGTTTAGGGTAAAAATTCGGCACAACATCATGGGCCGAAGGGCCTGTACTGTGCTGTACTGTTCTATGTTCTACTCACTTCTCTGGCCTACACATTAGTGGCACAGCTTTCGTCTGTCTCAGCCCTCTGGATTTCACTTTGTAAACGCTCCACATTATAAAGAAAAACACAGTTATTGAAATTCATCCTTCCAGATAAGTTTTATGTCATCACCCAAACTCCTCTCACTGCATCTCATATTTCATGACATCATACTTATTTTTTTCCATTTGCACTGTAAAATACTTTGGGATATTTTCTGCTTGAAATTGACTATAAAAAAAAACTATTACTTAACCCCGGCAGCATGCCTGTGGAGCCCAAGCTGGTGCATACACCCAATCTCTTCAGCAGTAGTCAAAGGTCAACCAGGAATTGGAACTAGGTTTTCCCTTTTCATCTCAAAATCACCTAATCAGCATTGTTCAAGCATTAGTGTTTTCTTGGCTTTTGCAGTTCAGTACTATACACATCTATTCACGGAGTCTTCTTGGCAATTTCCAAATAACTGATTCAACTAAGGAGAAGCAGGGAATTTGTTTCCTTCAAATAAAGATGTTTTATTATCCATTATGTTGCATTATTAGCTACATATGTTATTATTTCAATTGGAATGTTGAAACGAATGGAATTAAAAAGATCTTTTGCATACCCAATCCTTTCTTCGACTGTGTGTGGTGAAGTCATAAACAGGAACCTTCACGCTTTTCCCTTTCTTCAGCTTCCTCAATGTATGTATAATTAGGTCAAAATCAAAGGCATCAGGATGGTCAAAGTTATATTCACTTCTGGCAGCTAGTTCTTGTTCTTCTTTATTTAAGACCTGGTGTGGAAATAACACAGTTGAGCCAATGCCATACCCATGACTTATGAAATAAGAAAATCACACAGTCTCAGAACTCATTTACAGTCTGATAAAGTACAAGCAAAGGGGAGATCAAGAATAATATAATGTTTGTTAAAAGTCACAACGTCCATTTCAGACAAAGGACACGCAATAGATACTATATTTTGTAGAATAGCAAGGTTCCATGCTAAATAATGGAAAGGTGCTGAGTCATGGATAAGGCAGTGAATGACAGAAGTCTCATGTACAAAAATTAATTAAACAGAAACACTGCATTGTCATAAGGGTTAACCTTCCAAGCTAGAAAGTATTTTGATGATCACCATGGCCCCCGGAATCTCTGTTAATTGCGAATTCTACAACTTAAAATGTTTAAAATGGATCAAAACAAACAACAAAGAAAATTACAGCACAGGAACAGGCCCTTCAGCCCTCCAAGCCTGCACCGGCACGCTGCCCGTCACAACTATAACCCCCTACCCTTCCGGGGACCGTATCCCTCTATTCCCATCCTATTCATGTATTTGTCAAGACGCCCTTTAAAAGTCACTATCGTATCTGTTTCCACTATAGCCCCCGGCAGCGAATTCCAGGCACCCGCCACCCTCTGTGTAAAAAACTTGCCTTAAACCTATGCCCCCTAGTAACTGACTCTCCAGCCTGGGAAACAGCTTCTGACTGTTCACACTGTCCATGCCCTTCATAATCTTGTAGACCTCTATCAGGTCATCCCTCAACCTCCGTCATTCCAGTGAGAACAACCCAAGTTTCTCCGATCTCTCCTCATAGCTAATACCCTCCATACCAGGCAACATCCTGGTAAATCTTTTCTGTATCCTCTCCAAAGCCACCACATCCTTCTGGTAGTGTGGCAACCAGAATTGAACACAATATTCCAAGTGCGGCCTAACTAAGGTTCTATAAAGCTGCAAAATTACCTGCCAATTTTTAACCTCAGTGCCCTGGCCAATGAGGGCAAGCATGCTATATGCCTTGTTGACAACCTTCTCCACCTGCATTGCCACTTTCAGTGACCTGTATACCCAGATCCCTCTGCCTATCAGTACTCCTAAGGGTTCTACCATTTACTGTATATTTTCCATCTGGATTAGACCTTCCAAAATGCATTACATTGCATTTTTCTGGATTAAACTCCATCTGCCATCTCTGCCCAAGTCACCGACTGATCTATGTCCAGCTGTATCTCTTGACGGTCCTCATCGCTATCCACAATTCCACCAATCTTGGTGACATCCGCAAACTTACTAATCAGACCATTTACATTTTCGTCCAAATCATTTATATATATTACAAATAGCAAACGTCCCAACACTGATCCCTGAGGAACACCACTTGTCACAGCGCTCCATTCAGAAACACACCCTTCCACTGCTACCCTCTGTCTTCTATGACCGAAACAGTTTTTTATCCATTCTGCAAGCTCACCTCTGACCCTATGCAACTCTACCTTCTGTATTAGCCTGCCATGAGGGACCTTGTCAAAGGCCTTACTGAAGTCCATGTAGACAACATCCACCGCCCGACCCTCATCGATCAGTTTCGTCATTTCCTCAAAAAACTCAACCAAGTTAGTGAGACATGACCTCCCCTTCACGAAACCATGTTGCCTCTCACTAATACATCCACTTGTTTCCAAGTGGGAGTAAATCCTGTCTCGAAGAATCCTCTCCAATAATTTCCCTACCACTGATGTAAGGCTCACCGACCTGTAATTAGCTGGATTATCCTTGCCACCCTTCTTAAACAAAGGAACAACATTAGCTATTCTCCAAACCTCTGGGACCTCCCCTGTAGCCAGTGAGGATACAAAGATTTCTCTCAAGGCCCCAGCTATTTCCTCCCTTGCCTCGGTCAGTATTCTGGCGTATATCCCATCAGGCCCTAGGGACTTGTCTACCTTAATGTTTTCAAGAACCGCCCCCCCACCACCCCCCAACCCCCGTACCTCCTCCCTTTTGATCTCAGCCTGACCCAAACTATCTACACACACTTCCCCAGACTCACTATCTACCAAGACCTTCTTTATGGTGAATACTGACACAAAGTACTCATTTAAATACCTTGCCCATTTCCTCTGGCCTCACATATAAATTCTCTTCCCTGTTCTTGAGTGGGCCAACCCTCTCCCTGGCTATCCCCTTGCTCTTTATGTGTGTATATAATATATATAAATAGATCATTAAGCACTCAGATGATACAGTATAAGCAGAGAAAGTAATAATAAACAAAGTGATTGGACTGAGAAGGATTTGAATAATTTAGAAAACTGTGCCAAAAACGACAGTCGTGGAGACAGAAAAAAATTTAAATAAAAACTAATCCATCATAACTATGTGATATTCATACCAGTCTACAAAACAGGTATCAGCAAAAGGCATTGCAGAAACATAAAATGGAAACCATTGCTCCAGTGAACAGATTCGGTGGAAACAGCAAAGCAGATAACAGGCTACATTAGCACGAAGATAGAAAGAAAATCAGAAAAGGGTAATGGTGTTACTCTGAAGACACTAACTTTGTTCCAATCTAGAATGAAGGATGGATGAGAATGCCAGGAATTTCGAATATACCTATGCATAAAGTTGAGTTTTTAAGACTAGATTCTTTCCGGCCGTTATCAGAGTATTTGAAGCTAGAGTCCATTCAACAATGTAAGCTGCAACGTAACATGTATGCCTTAAAGTCTTTTTGAGCTGTGCATCCTTTGCTTGCTGTGATCTGCCTGTACCCCTCATAAACAAAGCTTTTCACTGTATTTCGGTACACGTGACAATAATATCAAAAGATTTTTAATGAAGAAGTAGGGGTCAATTTTTAATGAGTCTTAGTTTTA